TAACCTTTCTTTAAAAATCCTGCTTCCTATCCCTCATTGATCTGCTCTGAACCCAGTTAGTAATACTCTCAGTTGAAAACTATAACGAATAAAACGTTCGTGGTTTATATAGTACCTTCCCTTTATCATCCTCAAAGGAGTGTGTAAATGCAAGATCATTATGACATTATGAGTCCAACTTTATAGACGGGGAACTTGAGGCTCAGGCGAGGGTAAACAGCATAGCCAAGGTCAGGTTGAGTTTGAAAGAACCCAGTCCTCCTAAATTTTAATTTGCCTTATTACCCAGAAGGCCATGCTGCTGCTTTAGTAAGGAAAATATGCTTTTATAAGTATTGACACTAAACTTTCTCTGCTTAGCACTTTAGAAAGAAGAGAAGTGATGCTCTCTCGGGTCCTCACTTCCAAGGTGATAAAGAAGAGACGGAACAATGCTGGAGCCAAAAAAAGGGCTGCAGCCACATGAGGCCTTTTCACTGTATGAACTGTGTTCAATGTGTCCCCAAGGACAAGGTCATTAAGTTCTCTATTCAAAATGTAGTAGAGGCCACTACGGTCAGGAACATTTCCAAAGCAAAGATCTTCGCTGCCCATGTGCTTCCCAAACTGTCAGGAAGCTCCATTACTGCGTGGCTACAGCGAGGTAGTCAGGAATGGATCTCCTGGAGCCAGCAGGCCTGAACACCTTCTCATCTAGATTTAGAGTGGCCGCTGCTGCCCCACAATGTCCACTGAAGCCTGCAGAAGGAGCTGGGTCCTTAAAGACTGAAGAAAACTATCCTCTGGAAAAAATCAAATGGAAATTATGCTTTTAAAAAAAAGGAAAAGAAGTGAAAAATGAAAGGTTTGAATTCTTTTGGAATGAAATGCTTATGACAACGGTATTCTTTGCTTAAATACTCTAATTTTTATATCATTTCAGAAGAAATCCTTTTATATTCAGAGGATTTTTGATGTGCTGAGCTAATGATAGCGACTCCTTACTGAATAGCAATATCTACTTCGGCTTTTTTTATGGCTGTGGAGAGGAGAATAAATTTTTTTTAACGTGACATGAAAAGCTTCTGAAGGGTAATAGTTGAAATCAGAATAAAAATGCAGACAAACTGCTAAAATTGTGAACGGACAAGCCATGTAAAAAGAATCTTTTCAATGTGGATCTTTCCAAAAAAGAAAATGCCACCAAATTAAAAAGTAAAACAAAATTGTTTCATTTCTGATTCAGTCATCCCTGAAGTTCTATGAAGTGTATAGAACGGGTACCCTGCCCGATTCTTCTGGGACACCTGAGGAGACAGAGAAAGCAGCATGATGTGTGGCACTCGCAGGGCTGCAGGGAGAGAGTGCCAGCCTCTCCTGTCTTCCATCTGGCTTCTCGGAGTTAATGAGAAGTCACTGAGGCCTGGGGAGGTCTTCATCCAGTTTCTCCAGCTGCAGGTAATATTAGGTTTCACACAGTCTAACACAACATTAAATACTGCTTTAAAAATAACATCTCAATATCAGCCAGTTCTCTGCTATTCCGTAAGCATACATGCTGTTGGATGAAGTCACGGACACGGAGGCTTTATCGTGTCTAATGGTGATGGAGGATTTATCATCATAACAGTGATGGAGAATAAAACTAAGTTCTGTAATTTCCTGCAACTGACATTTGTTATGATTTGAAGACATATCATCTGATAATATACAGACTACTCTGAGTAATAATCACATTCTTCAAGCCACCACCTTCATCCACTCACAGCAGAAAACTCCAACTTCTGCTTCAAAGAACATAAGGTCAATGACATCCAACTAAAATTTTTTTTCTACTCACCATCTTCCATACACACTCTACATACAATCATGTAAACTACCTGCAGCCACACTCAGTCATACTTCCTACTCTCCCTTTGGGTGGAACATTTTTTCTTCCTTTGACCAGAGGAGCACTGAAGCCTGTCTTTCTAACTAATGTGGACCACAGCACAGCACAGCTGCCTCACGAAAAAGTGGCCAGTTTTCCACACGGGTCCCGGCCCCCTTACTCCTCACTGGGCAAGGCCTCTAGACCTGGGCCCCCAGCACAACCACCCTGTCCTGGCCTAAACACTTCAGTTGGTGCTGGCTCTGCGTTTCTCTGGGGAGGAAACTCCAGAGACACCCAACAGACCCTCTCCCATTGCAGCTGCAGTGGTACGAGCCTTACTGCCCTCAGGCTGGGGAAGGGACAAAGGGCCTCACAGCAGCCATCACACAGAGTGGAGCCCAGTCTCTCTTCCCTGTGAGCCCCCACCCACTACGTTTCATCAAACCGCAGAGCAGCTGCCTCAGCCCAGCAACTGAGCATTCCCACCGCTAGTGGCTCTGGTTCCCTGGAGTGGAGCTTCAAGAGGCAACTAATGGCCCCCTGCCGTTGCCACTGCAGCAGTTCTGCCCTTGCTGCCCTTAGGAAAAGAACAAAGAACCTGAGTGCTTTCCTTGTGCCTCCAGCACACCACAGTCACCATATAAGAAAGAGCCCAGTCTCTCTTCCCTGTCTGCATCTGACCCCCTGCCCTTCACCAAGCAGAGCCACCAGGCAGCTGCCCCACTCCCTGGCTGAACATTCCCATTGGCCACAGATCTTCATTTCTCTGGGGTGGAGCTCCCAGAGGCAACTGAAAGTCCCTCTGCCACTGCTGCTGGAGTGGTACTGCCCTTGCTGCCCTCGGACTGAGAAGGAATGAAGGCCCTGAGTGCTTCACTAACACTTCCAGCACACCACAGTCTCCCTAAGGAGAAGGAAGTCATCTATCTTCCCCTCACCCTTCGGCTCATCACCAGGCAGGGCCCCTGACTTAGACCCAAAATGCAGCTGCCCCACCCTTGGCAGGATGCTCTGATTGGCAGCAGTCCCGCATTTCTCTGGAGTGGAGCCCCAAGAGACAAGTGAAAGGCCCTCTGCCTTCGCTATTGCCAAGGTCCCTGTCCTGGCTGCCCCCAAGTTGAGGAGGGAACATAAAGCCTGAGATCACCCCAGAACTGAGGGAATTTGTTACCTTATAAGAGGTCTTTAAGGGAGTATTAAATATGGAAACAAAAGGCCATTACAGGCCACCACAAAAACGCACTTAAGTAGATAGACCACTGACACTATAAAGCAACTACACAATCAAGTCTGCACAACAACCCGCTAACAACATGATGACAGGATCAAATCTGCACATAGCAAATTTACCTTGAATGTAAACAGGTTAAATGCCCCAATTAATAGGCACAGAGTGGCAAGTTGGTGACCTAAACTCAATACTTGACCAAATGGATCCAATATATATCTACAGAGCTCTACATCCAAAAACATATATTCTTCTCCTCTGCAGAGGGCACATACTCTAAAATTAACCTTGCAATTGGCCATAAAACAATTCTCATAAAATTACAAAACAAAATGAAACCCTACCAGCCACATTCTTAGACCACGACACAATAAAAATATGAATTAATACCAAGAAGTTTGCTCAAAACTATACAATTATGTGAAAATTAAACAATCTGCTTTTAATGACTTCTGGGTAACCAATGAAACTAAGGAAAAAATCAAGAAATTCTTTGAAATTAATAAAAACAAAGATTCAATATACCAAAATCTCTGAGACACAGCTAAGGCAGTGTTAGGAAGAAAATTTATAACACTAAACACTCACATAAAAATTTAGAAAGTTCTCAGATTTATAACCTAGTACCACAACTTGAAGAGCTAGAAAAACAAGAGCAAATCAACCTCAAAGCTAGCAGAAGACAAGAAATAACCAAAATCAGAGTTGATCTCAAGGAAACTGAGACAGAAAAAATCGTATAAAAGATAAACATAACCAGAAGTTGATTCTTGAAAAGAATAAATAAGAAAGACTGCTAACTAGATTAATAAACAATAAAAGAGAGAAGAATCAAATAAATACAATCAGAAATGACAAAGGAGACATTATTAACATTTACCCCTTTAAATAAATACAAAATACCTTCAGAGACTATGATGAACACTGCTATGCACACAAACTAGAAAATCCAGAAGAAATGGATACATTACTGGAAACATAGTAATGACTTTCAAAATTAAATCAGCAATAAAAAGCCTACCAACAAGAAAAAGCCCAGATCCAAATAGATCCACAGCCAAACGCTACCAGAGGTACAAAGAAGAGCTGGTACTATTCCTATTGAAACTATTCCAAAAAATTGAGGTGAATGGATTCCTCTCTAGCTCATTCTATAAGGCCAGCATCACCCTGAAACCAAAACCTAGCAAAGATTGAACAAAAACATAAAACTTCAGACCAATATCCTTCATGAACATGGATATAAAATACTAGCAAACTGAATCCAGCAGCACATCAAAAGGCTAATCCACCACAATCAAGTAGGCTTTATCCCTGGGATGCAAGGTTGGTTCAACATATGCAAATTAATAAATGAGATTCATCACATAAAAAGAACTAAAAATGAAAACTATGTTATCATCTCAATAGATGCAAAAAATGATTTCAATTATGTTTTTTTTTTTCTTCTTCTTTTTTGAGACAGAGTTTCGCTTTTGTTGCCCAGGCTGGAGTGCAATGGTGCGATCTCGGCTCACCGCAACATCTGCCTCCTGGGTTCAGGCAATTCTCCTGCCTCAGCCTCCTGAGTAGCTGGGACTACAAGCACACGCCACCATGCCCAGCTAATTTCTACTATTTTTAGTAGAGACGGGGGTTTCACCATGTTGACCAGGATGGTCTCGATCTCTTGACCTCGTGATCCACCCGCCTCGGCCTCCCAAAGTGCTGGGATTACAGGCTTGAGCCACCGCGCCCGGCCTCAATTATGTTAAAAACCTTCAACGAACTATTAATAGGTATTGAAGAAATATATACCTCAAAATAATAAGAGCCACCTATGACAAGCCCACAGCCTACATCATACTGAATTGGGAAAAACTGGAAGTACTCCCCTTGAGAATTAGAACAAGACAAGGATGCGACCATGCACTTCATCTGTGCCGCAGCATGTTTGCTTTTCAATTGGGAACTCCTGCTTCTCCTTGCCTTAAAATGGACCCCACCTGCTCCTGCTCGCCTGGTGGCTCCTGCTGCTGTGCCGGCTCCTGCAAATGCAAAGAGTGCAAATGCACCTCCTGCAAGAAGAGCTAGTGCTACTGCTGCCCTGTGGGCTGTGCCAAGTGTCCCCAGGGCTGCATCTGCAAAGGGACGTTGGACAAGTGTAGTTGCTGTGCCTGATGCCGGGGCAGCCTTGCTCCCAGATGTAAATAGAGCAACCTGTATAAACCTGATTTTTTTTTTTACAACCTTGACCCGTTTGCTACTTTTTTTTCTATGAAATACGTGAATGGCAATAAATTCATCTATTCTTGAAAAAAAAAAAAAGACAAGGATGCACACTCTCACCATTCCTGTTCAACATAGGACTGGAAGTCTTACCCAGACCAATGAGGCAGGAGAAAGAAATAAAGACCATCCAAATAGAAAGTGAGGAAATAAAACTATCTCTGTTTGCAGATGGTATAATTTTATACCTAGAAAACCCAACAATCTCTGCCCCAAAACTTCTATATCTAATGAACAACTTTAGCAAAGTGGATACAAAATCAGTGTACAGAAATCAGTAGCATTTTCATACACCAATAACATCCATGCTGAGTGCCAAATCAAGAATGCAATCCCATTCACAGTAGCCACAAAAAAGGATAAAATACCTAGGAATACAGTTAACCATGAAAATGAAAAATCTCTACCATGAAAATTACAAAACACTGCTTAAAGAAATCAGGGATTACACAAACAAACGGAAAAACATTCCATGCTCATGGATAGGAAGAATCACTATTGTTAAAATGGCCATACTGCCCAAAGCAATTTACAGATTTGATGCTGTTCCTATCAAAGTACCAATAATATTCTTCACTTAACTAAAAAAAAATATATTTTTTAAATTCATATGATACCAAAAAAGAGCCCAAATAGCCAAAGCAATACAAAAGAAAGGGTGAGAGGCATCACATTACCCAGACTCAAACTATACAACAAGCCTACAGTAATCCAAACAGCATAGACCTGGTACAAAAACAGACACATAGACCAATGAAACGGAAGAGAGAGCCCAGAAATAAAGCTGCACACTTACAACCATCTGATCTTTGACAATGTCAACAAAAACAAGCAATGGGGAAAGGACTCCCTATTCAGTAAATTGCGCTGGGATAACTGGCTAGCCATATGCACAAGATTAAAACTGGCTCCCATTCCTTACATCATGGACAAAAGTAAACTCAAGATAGATTAAAGACTTAAATGTAAAACCCAAAACTATAAAAACCCTGGAAGGAAACATAGAAAATACCACGCATTTCATCTATGCCACAGCATGAAGGCCCTGGACAAAAATTTGACAAAGATGCCAAAAGCAATTGCAACAAAAACAAAAATTGACAAATGGGACCTAATTAAACAAAACAGCCTCTTCACAGCAAAAGAAACCATCAACAGAGTAAACAGACCCCAGAGAATGGAAGAAAATATTGGCAAACTATGCATCTGACAGAGGTCCAATAATGCAGGATCTACAAAGAACTTAAACAAATTAACAAGCAAAAAACAAGTCCGTTAAAAAGTCAGCAAAAGGACATGAACAGACACTTTTCAAAAGATGACATATAAATGGCCAAAAAGCATATGGAAACATGCTCCACATCACTAATCATTAGAAAAATGCAAGTCAAAACCACAATGAGATACCATCTCATAACAGTGAAAATGGTTATTATTAAAAAGCCAAAAAAGTAACAGATTCTGGTGAAGCTGCAGAGAAAAAAGTATACTTATACACTACTGGAAGGAATGTAAATTAATCCAGCCACCATGGGAAGCAACTTGGCAGTTTGCTCAACTTAAAACAGAACTATCATTTGATTTAACAATTCCATTATTGGCTGTGTACCCAAAGGAATGTGAATTGTTCTGCAATAAAGACACATGCACGCATATGTTCACTGTGGCACTATTCACAATAGCAAAGACATGGAATCAACCTAAGTGCCTGTCAATAGTAGACTGAATAAAGAAAATGTGATTCATATACATCATGGAATACTACACACCCATTAAAAGAGACAAGATAATGTCCTTTGCAGCAAAATGATTGGAGCTGGAGGCCATTATCCTAAGTGAACTAACACAGGTACAGGAAACCAAACACTGCATGTTCTCACTTAAAAGTGAGAGTAAACACTGAGTACACAGGGACACAAAGAAGGGAGCTATAGACACTGGGGACTTCTTGAGGGGGAGGGTGGAAGGAGGGCAGGTATCGAAAAACTACCGATTAAATACTGTTTATTACCAGGTGATGAAATAATATGTACACTAAACCCCCACAACATGCAATGTCTCTATAGAACCAACCTGCTTATGTACCTTTGAAACTAAAATAAATGTTTACAAAAAAACCTACCTTTCTGAGAGAAGTGCTAAATACGGATTGGTATTGAGCTGTCATTTAGATATAGGTCTAGGCTGAATTTATATATCTTAGATTGTGTTCTTGCCTCTGCTACATGGTAACTCTGAAAGTTCCCTGAATTCTTCCAGTGTCAGCACCTCTAAGTAAGCTTGCAATAAATGTTACTATAAATATGACACAGAAGGAGTAGTCTATAAGTTTTCGTTGATAATGATAGTGGTGATTACTCCCCCAGTGCAAAAACTGGGTTAGTTTCTCTATTTTGGAATGTTCATTACTTAAAATTGAGAGAGGGAAGGGCTTTTGGGGGCGATAGACAAGAATCTATATATATTTTTATAGAAATAAAATAAAAGATTTAAATGACTATCAAAAGAAACTTTGTAGAGAAAGCTGAGTAACCAAGAAGCAATGCAATGAAGTGGGATGAGAAGAGCCTAAGTCTAGCACTCCATTCTATGGCAGGAGAAAAGGCAGTGTTTTAGACTGAATGTATGATATACACTTCAGAGAATTTGTAACATCATCAGGTAAAGTTGAGTTATTTTTTCCTCTCACTGTCTTCCAGAGGCTTGTAGTCCATTTTCTGTTATTTATGAAAGAATACGTAAAATCAGGTAATTTATAAAGAAAATGAATGTATTTCTTAAGTTCTGAAGGCTGAGAAGGCTGAGATCGAGAGCCCTCATGATTCAATCATCTCTTAAGAGTTCCACCACTCAATACTGCCACATTAGGAATCAAGTTCCAACATGAGTCTTGGAAGGGACATTCAAACCACAGCACAGAGTCACTGTGCAAGTTCTCCCAAATGAAGATAACTGTCCCACGTTAGTCAGCAACTGCTCTATCAGTGAAACCCTTTCTCAGCATTGACATGTTTGGTTTGGTTGTTTTACTAATGCCTGACATAAGCACCAAGACTGTCAAACTTCACACAACAAAAGAATAAAGCCTCCCCTCCTGCAGAGAATGGATACAACCAAAAATGACATATCTAACATCAGAGTTTCTAGACGGGAGTGACTCTGCAGATCCTCTGCCTCATCCCAGGACAGACTTCAAAGTTGAGGTGCTTCTCATATTCTTCATCTGTCAACATGTGGCATTTACCTGTTTTTTAGAACTTGTAATTACCCAGCCCAGGTAGGTATGGCTAAAGGCATTTTTCTAACACTTGTCACTTTAAGAAAAGGGAACTTTACAGAAATTGTTCATTCTTATACAATCCACTCCAAAATCCAACAATTTCCTCTTTCCATTCATCTTCCAGAAATTCTATATCCAAGACAAATGGGATTTAGTATAGCATGCCTTCAGTGATACCACAATGAACAAGACTATTTTAAGAATTCTATTCATCAATTCTCAATAAATATCATGATACCGGCACTTAGGCATTCTAAACTGACTTTCCTAAGCAGATCTCGAAGCTCTTTAGCAACACAAATGCATTAAACATTCTAATTCTCTTGCAAAACAAGCTAAGAGGCTAGAGCTAAAAGATGATTTCTGTAATGTAACTGCATAGCAAGTAACCTAGAAATGGCCCATCTCTGAAAAGAGAAAATGTGGAGAGGGAGGGAGATTATGATACCAGCAAATTGATTTGAGTACCAGCACTAGTCTCATCCATTTCCAAGTCCAGTTTATCTTGAAGCATTAGGTTACAATGAAAGATCCACTTGCTTGTCAATCGATTATTTAAGAAACATTTATTAAGTGGCTCTGGGGTACTGGCTCTGGGTTAGACCCTAGGGATATAATTTTAAAAAGCCCCTTCTTTGTGAAGTGTGCAATCCAGTAGAGCAGAAACACCTACTTTAAAAACAATAATAAAATACTATGTAATAAATAAAATAATGGAAGTGTGTCTAGAATGTAGAGATAGCATGTGGGAGGTAGTGACTAACTTTATTTGTGTAAGAGGATGAAAAGATATTTTCTTAATTGCCCTAAGGTGCAATATCCAGTGTGGAAGGTTAAATAGGATTTTGACAGTGTTATAAATATGCTCTTTCTAAAGAAAAGGTATTCTTATTGATAGTAATAAACGTGTTGCAACGAATTTTTTGTGGCTTCCCTAAAGACAGACTGAAAGATCTATGTGTGACTTAGAAGATAATGGCCCTTTCTGCCTCCATCTGCTACTTCAACTGTAGTGTTGTGAGAGCCTCACCGGTAAATCACAGAAAAGTACTTCTTTTTGTAAAGATATGTCTGTCCTTATGGTCTCTGTTTCCTCTACTCTCACAGCTGCTTATAAACAGAGCTGGAATTAGAGCAGAAAAAATGGCCAATTCTTGTGTTTTACAAATGAGGAAATTGTGGCCCTATGAGGCTGTTTTTCCCCAAAATCCTACATAGTTGGAGTCCAAAACCCAGAGACACTAATCAGATTGCACTCTTGTTCCATGGAGACCCTCAAGGTCCACAGGTCATTCTATCTTCCAGCCACCTACTCAAAATTAATCAAACATGCTTACTTCACACAGACTGTGAGCTGCTTAAGGGCAGTGTCTCAGATAGAATAGGTTTTGCTGTGGAAAAAAAAAAAATAGACCTGAAAATCACAGTGGTTTCAAGCGACAAAAGTTTATTTTTTACTTACACGAAGTCTGAGGTGGATCATGGGAATTTCCAGTGCTCCTCCATTCAGTGATGCAGGGATCTAGACTGCATGTTGTGATATATTATCTAAATATTTGGCTTCCAACATTGCCACATCAGGGTAAGGGAGAGTAGTAGCAGCACACTTACT